GCCGAGACATCCAATAGGCAACGCAGACTGTGGAATGGCTTGGTGCATTAAAGCTTATATTTGACGCTTCAAGCACCAGCCATTAACGTTAGCTTCCGTTCGTGGGCTGCATAAGTGGGGTGAGGAAGTGTATAGTCCCGGTAGTCCCTCAGGCTGCACTTCTTCAGGTCGTCTGGACGCTCAAGACTCCAACGAAGCAGTACTTGATGCAGATACACTCGCGTCGTGTCGACGCTCCACAAATCAATATATATGCAACATTGTAAGCGCCTGCGCATTATAATGCCGCCCATCGCCGAAGATTTTGACTCGCTTTCGCCTTCTGCCAGTCAGGTCGCGCTTCCGGTAATGGTGGCGTCGCATGCGAGTATTTGCGTTTGCGTTCATGATGGCTGCTGCGCAATCAAGTCAGAACAGCATATTTTCTTCGACTGCTCACGCGCGTCACGGCTTTGGAGCGAGGTCTTGCGACTCGTTTCTCCCTACTTTGCTGCGCGGCCGACGTGGCTTAACATCGCGTTTGGATGGAAGCTGCGAAGGCTTGCGAAGATGTTGTCAGCGATGTATGGCACGTTTTCCGAGCAGTGCCTGGAAAGCATTAAGCCAAATCAAGGAAGGCCGGAAGAGTCGTCAGCTTTTGTAACACCGTGCGAAAATCATCGATTGTGCTTCCCTTGAGTAAGCGCCATTGGAAGTATCGAAGGTGTGCAAAATATGACATGACGATCACCTTGATCGCGGCAAGCGCTCGTGTAGGCTGTCTGCCGTTGAATAGACACCGATTGCGGTCGGATCAAAGAAAGTAAAGTGTCATCACTAATTTGCGGAAGCTGCATAATATTATGTTTTACAGAATTGCATCGCGAAAATAGGGGGTATTGAATTTGACAGGTTATTGGAAAAGCTCTTTTAGCCACGCGTCATTCATCATTTTTCTGGCCCTGCCCAAGTGACTCCAGCGCAGTATGAAAGCACCTTAGTATCCCGCCGCCTCCCAGACCCACTCTCCCTGTGCGACCTTTGCCGTCCAGAAGTCTACATCTACTCTGCGAACTAAATTGTCTCCGGGTACACCCGAACGGGGGACAAGAGACATGAGCCCTGAGCAGAGTAAGACTTACGTCCGGTTAAGGACAGTGAGGGATAAGCGATGTTGTCTGATGGAGGTGGAGCGACGCACCCGCGCCCGACCAGCTTAGCCTTTCCAGAAAAGGTGACCACAACACTTTTGTCAAAAATGCACCCGGCTGGCCAACGTGACAACGCGATAAACACGGCAAGAGCACGGATGATGATCAAGATAGATTCAAGCTTTTCAAGCCTTTCTGAAGACGCCTTCTTACCGACTAAACCCCCTTAAATTGACGTCAGCACTTGACTCACTGTGTTCTTTTTGACCGTCCGTATGCAATAGAGAGAGTGAAGATACGACCAAGAGTTAGTGAAGATACGAAAAAGAGTTAGTAAAGATACTCAGAAACGAGTGAGTAAAAACTTACTCGGTAGATGTTGGGTATAAAGAATGTGATAGGTAATTTACTTATTGTTGAGCAAGCTTTCTGAGTAAGGTAGAAGTGTTTCCACTCATTATTTGCTTTTGAGTATTGGACTTTACCCCTCCAATTTCGACTTGAAATTTGGCTCAGTGGTTTGCAGTGATGGCTCGATTCTACTGAGCGAGGACTCGCGTTCCACAACGGAAGTAGTTAGGAAGCGGTTACTTGGTGTTTGGGCTCACCACCATGAGTCACGTCCCCCGACCGATCTTTTGATCTTTTGATCTTTTGATCTTTTGATTTTTGATCATAAGATTTCAAGGTGATGTTATCAAACCTTGTTATTTTCACGTAAGATTGGATTGTATAATGAAGTTGATACTGTATAGTGTATATTATCAGCTAGCTTTAATTAAGAAGTCATCGAATCTATAAATTATAATACAGACAAACTTTAAGCCCAGCTACACGACCGCTACCGGGCACTTAATCGCACGATGAGTATACAAACAAAACATTTGTTAAGCATCAAGACATCATCTCAATAGCACTTATACATGCGTTGATACAAGCAGTAATGTCAGTACAATCAGGCGTATCAATGCTAAGCTGCTTCTCGAAGCGATCATCATTTTTACTTACATAACAGCCACTTCTCACAGCAACACGAAAATCTTTCACATTGTGATAAAAAAACTACGTTTAACAGCAATGAAGGATACATCACACTAATTTAAGCATCCGACTACTAGAAGTCTTATTTGCATACGGTAAGTAGAGTCCGCACATAAGTGCATTTTACTCAATTGCACAGAATTGTGATGTACGTTACACCCTTTCCCCACTGTGTTTCGTCTCACTGGAATCTGCACAAATTTTGTCTTCTGAAAAATGGACGCTCAACAAGCATCCACTGGGCCTCGCGTCTCTCTCCACTTCTTCCACCCTACAATGCCTGCTCCTAATGGCATATATTTTCATCGAATGTCCTCTCCCCCCTCTCCCCCACACACCTTCTTGGCGCTCAGCAAGCCTAAAAACGCGGATCTAGGTGGCAATTTATTCACCAATGACAATGGTGGTAGCGACACTCCGCGTCCTGATCTTGCATATCCAACCGAACTGAGGACGCTCCGCCGTTCTTCTACCTGGTTCACAGCCACGAATGCGTTTATTTTAAGCACACGAGTCGCAACGACTATAGCTGACTCGATTACGCCGTGATTATAAATTATATATATCTGGTGTTGCTTGTTGCGCAGTGGCATATTTATCAAATGCATATGCGTGCTGGCTTTCCATTACGACAGAAAGTGATATAAGCGCACAAATTATCGCTCAACGATTAGAGTAAATACTCACACGGCTAAGGGTAGCAGTGGTCGAGTAAATCCAACCCCCCCCGTAAAACAAACTAATGTTGGTCATATAACCGACGCGTACTACACAATTCGCATTAGCCGAGAAGGCCACGTCACCTTGCTTGTCTAACCGCTTTTCAAGCCAGCATCAGTAAGGTAGACTTAAGAGCAGTGCGTGGTTTAATGCTCGACTTTGCGTTTTCGAAAGCACGAGATGCCATCAGGACACCTCAATTCTTCAATTTTTGCATCTAGTGGCTTCTTTATCTCCTGTAACGCGGCTACCGACCCAACCTCGAACTTGCAACGAGATAATGTCCTACTCAGCATTGAGAAGTGGGCTGCAATGGGCGACCATGAACTTTATCTCGATGAGATCAGCATTGGGGATACACCAAGTCATTAGCGTCAACGGCGACGTGGCAATGCTATTATAGCAAAATTTTTAATCCTACATGGGTACTTGGAGTGATTGTATTCCTTTCACTTCGATAGATGTTTGTCGCAGCCCTGTCGAATTTGCTGCTCCGCTAACCTCTCCACGACATCTCTTGGCATCGAGTCGTGGCGGCGAAGGACTACTCTCCCGCGGCCGGTTACCATGAAACAAATCGGATAGGATGTCACGTCGGCTCACTTCGAGGGTCACGGGGTGCGGTTGATACTGAGATAGACCAGATATCGAATACGCCTTCTTGAGGCGCATCCGTAGTGGACCAGCGCAGCAACTGTGTTGTCATGCATCTTTCACATAGGAAGATTTGATTTAAAAATTCACGATATAAGAAATCCACAGCGGCCGCGTTCATACGTTTCAATTAGAAGCGGGACCTAGAGCCGCTACAAGTAACTACTCGCCTAGGTTGCTCCATTATTTTGTGAGAAACATATATTTTGATTGATTGTTTGTTTTCGCAAATGCAAGCCATACTTTTCCTTGACCTGCGGCTGTAGCCACGTGTTTTACGAACTTCTCCCTTATGGAAATTCTTGCAAGTATCGATACTTCTATACTTCTGAGCTCTGTACAGATTCACAACGTTGTAATTTAAATAGTGTGGTATCGTATTCTTTTAAATTGTACATAATTGCAAAATGTATGCACACAATAGAATAGTATATTACCCTCACCCTTCCTTACCAATACATAACCATACTGAGTCTCACACTTCTTTTGTCATTTTTAAACCCCTTTGGCAGCAGTGAGCGCTTAAACGTTCTACAGTACCTGCTCCTTAGGGTACATTGTATCATGGGTTCTACCCTCATATTGCTCAACAGGCCTTTGAAAAAGATGCTGTTCTTGCGGCCGAAATGCTAAACACGGTTTTTCAATCGGCGGTGAGACCGCGAGATTTTTCGATGATTTGTACGGACGTGAAAATTCTGAAGGTCACCCCCGTCCTCACAGTGCGACAAACGGTGCAGCCCTTACCCGTGAGAAGACGCTTGCTGCAATACCCATTCTATTTGTTGCAACAACTCGCCCTGAAGCTGACAACAAGCTGGATATGGCGCAAGTTCATCACCGACTCTTGCCATTTTCACCACATAGTGACTATTTTTTCGACAGCCAGAAGTTGCTCACTTCGCTCGGGTTTCTGACACGCATATGCTTGCAAGCCTCCCTATTACATGGCGAGTAAAACGAGTGGTAGAATTTTACTCCCACACGCTTTTTGCCTCCAAAATTGCTTCCTCATTGAAAGTACCGCCTGTGCTTGTTTCCGCCAGCCCACTTAATCCTTGATACGAGACTGGACCACCCCTTGCTCATCTATCACCTCCGATGGGATACGACCTTTTCACGGATAGCTTTCGTAATCTTTCTCGGTTGTGACGGCACGTCGCTTCTGTCTAATCGTCTCAGCGTGTGGCTCAAACCAAAACGAGGTAGCAGTTGGAAGTGCTCCTTGATCCCCTCATCAAGCTGTGTGACTAAAGACGGCCACTGCACGGATCGTTATCCGACAGAGTGGTCTTTAACAAGTCATGGTAGTAATAAATGTTGTCGAGAGCAGCCTGGCCGATCTTCACCGGTAACGGTGTCACTTACAGCTGCGTGATATATCAATCAATTTGCTCAAAGGTCTCCAAGGACCACAATGCCGGTTATACCAAACGCGTCTTGGGATAGATCCATACTTATCGACTACCAGTATTCTGCTGGAATGGCAGACATATATGAGTACTTCCCATTCGTCCCATTCTGAAAGGTATGAGCCACCAAGCGAAAGCAATACTAATTTTTTTTTTTCGCATGTATTCTTCGTTTTACGTTGTGTAATCAAAGAGAGCAAATGTTCCTTGTTCAGTTTAAATGTTTTTATCATGACGTATCATCGCAACGTGAGATTAATGGGATCAGTGTTGTGATACAGCAAGCCTTAGCCTGAAAGATATCGCGCAAAATGTGTTTAGAACGCTTTCATAAAGCAGCATCTGTACTACAAATGTCTTGCGCTCCAATCTTTTTAGTAACAGCATATGTACCTATCGCATCAAATGATACCACCACCATAATTACAGGAGACACTTTAACGTTGGGGGTGGCTCAAAAGCGTATTCGCCACCACATGAGGCCAACCAAGCATATACCTTACCTCAGAAGTATAAGTAGGAAAGATGGAGAAGCATTATGCCATTGGGGGGGACGATATCGCTGTTCGCAACGACGCAAGATTTGTAGAAATCACGAATGGCTTGGGGTCAAGAGGATACGATGTAACCTGTCGAAGGTCTACTGTTTTGGAAATAGGTTTTTGCCGCAAGCAGTATTGTTTTTGTTTGAAGCTTTGAGCAATAAGCTAGCGGAACTCGGAGGCAATCCGCGGTCATGGTCATCAGCATGTAGAATGACGCAGCATGTTGCAAAGGCTGTAGAGTCACAGATGACGTGGTATGTTCAATTGAGACTTGGAATAGACAAAATTGGGACATGCGTGGGAGCTTCTTCACAGCTTTCAAGATGTGAAAGGAAGCCTCACGCCTCTTCTACCACATCCCAACGCTTTTTGAAATTCTTGTTGGGAAGAATGGTAAGGGGTCGTGCCATGTCAACATAGCTGAATGTACTGGCAAGCTAAGAAAGAGGCTCTGGACATCCTTAAATAACCCATATTTTTGCGAGATCTTGCCGTGGCCCTGCCTCCCGATTAAGCCATTCAAATAAAATTTTGTCTAACCAAAAACACATTTATCGAGGTTCGAGAAATTATGGCCAGAATAGAATTTTTATAATTAGGATGCCGTCTGATCCTCTATGTCTCCAGGAAATTTAAGGTCGCTTTTGCAATAGATAGTCCAGGTGGCATCACCAGCGACTCCCTGATAATACCCCGAAGTACTCACCTTGATGTGAGAGGTATTGCTGTTTCTCATCAAAAGCTGTTAACTTTTATTAACTAGGACGAGGTCACTAAACATAATGCAGCCAAATGCGATTTTCTGCGGCATTCTGTGTGATTTTCTGCGGCATTCTGCATTTAGAATATTATAAGAACACACGATTTGCTGCATTTTGTTAGACCTTCTGATTAAAACTTCCAGCAATATCATTGCCCATTAATTTGAGCTAATCTAATGTCATGAATCCAAGCTATAGCAGATTCGTGCCCGATCAGTGAGGACTTATAAATTCGGATAGTGATTAGTTTTTGACTCACTAAAGAAAGTGTGCAGCTCTTAATTCTAACGACATTTAGTTGATTTATGGCTCATGGCGAGTATGTCACGCCATACTCACAATGGAATCGTATCTTAAATCAAGGTCTAGCTCTTCACAGTTTAATACACGACCAGAGCTAGCAGATTTCAGAAAAAATGCAGAGCAACAACTCGCAATATATTAAATATATATAGCGCCTTGAGGCAGCTATCGTATCTATGTTCGGCACTTGCAATGTCTGTATGCAGCGCTTATTACTTTGTTGTTTTACATGTCGAGCTTGGTTTGGCACAAAAGAACTAAGGTATTTTCCATCAGGTTTTCTAGCGCCCCAAGGTTGTTTTCGCAAGAACTTTATCGATCGCTTCTGCGAATAATAGTGTAATCTATAATGGAACTATAACATTGTTTATATCCCGTTAACCCCTGAGAGAGAGGAGCATGTACCTGTGAAATCAGGTACAGCATTAGGCTTTACTTAGAGAGCAGCCGATGCTTTCTTTTCTGCGAGCGCAAAACTCGCTTGATGTGCGCGCACACCTCCATTTGGTATCGAATCTTTGCGTAAGGAGACGAACGGCAAGTGGCAAGCGATTCATAAAAAAGTTAAATTTAGCCACCTTTCGGCGCAAGCGCCGATTCTGAGAAATAAACGCCTTGTCGATTAAAATAATTCCGCTACTTGCGAAAGCCATTAGGCCCTCACTGCAGTATGTACGTCGAAGGAATGCTTTGGGACTGTCTAGCACGACAGAGTCATTTCCATTGTATGTTCTTAGTCTATTGCATGAGGCTGTGGCATATGTGCTTCAAGGAATTTGTCAAATATTTCGTCATTTGAGCGGGGCAAAAGATTCGTACCAAAGTCTGTCTTCTATTCAGGTTTAATCGTTCTTATCGATATCAAGTACTGCAAATGATGAATCATCATATTATAGGGTGCTGATGCTCCCAACCACTGTGGATCCAGCTGAAGCAAAACTCGTGAGGAGAGGCAAATGCATGTTCAAAAGGCGCTTCCAGATCTGGCTTGGGGCACTCCATCACAAATGTCGAAAGAAGGTGTCGCTACGCGGCGGGATTTTCTGATTTGTCATATCGATCTTATCAATAATAACGAAGAATTCATTGGTTTAGAGTAATCACATTGATGTATGTGATTAATACGCTTGCAGATCAGAACGTGTATCTTGCTGGCCCGAGACCCAGTTCATCAGTTACGGTTGTGGATCGACTGAAAATACATTGTTAGAGTTTTCAAAATCAAAGAATTAAAAAATATAATGGGAATTACGAACAGCAAGTTTATATAATTCTTCCACAACCAGCAAGGACTTCTTTTTTGAGCAAGATGTGAAAACACCCATATCTTCGTCACCAACAAAGACCTTCTTATCGTTGGTCTCAGTGGCCGCGTCTGGCTTGGAGACCCATCGAGTCATAAACTTGCCAAAGTAATGTTGAGGTGAGAAATCAGTGCTCGTACATATTTCACTAAGAGTACACTGTATTTTTATATAGCGTCTCTTTGACATCTTTCCTATTGATGGGAAGGTGTAACGTGATATGACGAGATACATATTGTACTTCTGTTCCTATGATCTAGAGCAAACTGCAGAAGTACAACGTAAAAATAACATAAAAGTGGTACTATGATAATGTGAGGTACCTGGGATAGAAAGGTCGCTAGCTTCACGTAACGCGCTATAAAGAGTCACTTATTACCAATATATATATATATGTATCCAACAAAAGGTTAGTTATATTACAACATGTTTCGATCAGGCCATTTGTAAAAAAGGTACTCAAAAGGCGTTTGATTTGGCTTCTTGAGGATATTATACACGGTGCGAGGCGCGCGGCGACCTCAGTATCTCTGTTCACAATTATCATAAATTTCACAGCCGTCTGAATTAAACCACATTCTCTGTGAGAATCGCAAATGAAATGCTCACATATCCGCCCTCAATTATACACGACACACTTTCTGAATTAATGCCTTCCGCCAATCCTGAGTGTTTGGCAAATTAATAAGCCTGGCCTCAGAAGCGGTTGCTGCTTACCATTCAGCTCTTGTTAAGCATTAAATTAGAGGAATGCCAGTAATATCCGAGTAAGACGTCTCTAAGAGCGCCAGTGCTAGACTTTTTACCGTTCAGAACTAATTAATTTGTAGCTTTTTGCGTCTTGTATGAAAAGAAATTTTATGCATACAACGCGATGGGATTCAACTCTGCTCTATACAAAAAAAGCGCGTCGATCGCAAGAATTGGCACTAACTTACTATACCTCCGTACACATGGTATTTTCATCGTGGATACTTCTAAAGTTCCAGATGCCACCAGTGTTTTCATCGCCTAATCGAGATTTACGCTCGCGGTCAAAAGATTGAGCCGTACCTAGATGCTATAGAAAACTGATGGGTTATGAGAACAAGAAGGAATCTAACAGATGAGATGTCGATTGCCTCTCTTCCGTAAACGGTCAGAGTCACCATTTCATGGAGTCATCGTACATGTACGTTTCGCACCAAGACCTTCCGGAATACTGGCTGCGTAGTGACTTTTGCATCGGTCCATTTTACACTTGGGTTATTGAGAAAAGCCTAGAGGCTTGAATGAATTGCCACGAATAAGGGCGCCAACTCAATGTAAAAAAAACGTCCATGAGATACGCTAACAATCTTACGTTAAGAACTACAAACGTTTACCCAATTGTTTAAATTGACTTGTCCATAGTGCAGCGAGGCTGCCGTTGCTCTTTGCTTAGAGGAAGCTTACTTAGGATCGCCGGCCATTCTATACCAGAACAAGTACGAGTGTAGCGGATCGCAATCCTTTACTTCCAAGAGTTCCCAAAACCTTAGCCTAGGCAAACACACTCTTTTATTCAAAATGTGACCTGTATTTATCTTTTTATTTGCGGCAGAGCCCCCTATGTCTTAAACTAAACATTTTTCTGCTTAAAAAGCAAAATGTAATTGTATGCATAACTTCTGGCGATCCCGCCACGTAGTGGCTTCTTGTTACGGTGTTTACACACCATAATGTCATTACACCGACTTGAGAAACCACACCTTTTTACAGTTACACCATCTTGTGTGACGCGCCCTTTATACCAGAGCACGTGTTACCCCAATACACTCTCCCTCATCAACACAGTGAATACCCACAATACACATATACATGTCGCCTCGTACAAGGCTCGCGTGTCTTAGACACCGTTATATCCCTAGGACCATCTTCACGCATTCTCTGCTCGATTAACCCTGTGTAATTGATATGAGAAAGATCAAGCTTCGTTGGTTTCGAGGGTTTCCGCCGGCAGAGCCCTTCTGCAAGCGATGCCCTCGGCAACCTGGCGCCACATACCACGCCTGCCATGAGTGACGGATTTCCTCGTCGAGAATTCGAAGAAAGTTGACTACTCCTTTCACATGATGTGGAAAAAAAGACGGCGAGGTGCTCCAGCGGCGCGACGTGAGCCCTGCTCGAGCCTTGCAGATATCTTGTCCGTTTCCCGATTTTTCGACTATCAGGGAAGGTGGTATTATCACCAACCGCCTCGACGAGGCACAAGAGCATCAGTTAAAAGCTGATCACAGGGCGGCTCTTCCACGTTCGGTCCTACCCTCGTGTGGAATACAGCTTCCGCTTCGCGGATCCCGCAAGTGAAGTAAATGACACGATCACTCGACCGTTAGGCGTCTACGAAGTCGGGCCCCCGGCCACTACACAAGCTGAGCTGAACCAGCGAAAAGCTCTCTGAGCTCGCTTCCTGGTACCTCGAGGAATTTTAATGGATAAGTTCTGCACTCGACATTGCGCTCAAAGAGGAGGCGCTTCTGTACCCGCAATGTGGAAAATTCTCGTGGTGCTTGCCCATGGTGAAAACGCTGCAGATGATGAGGAGCTCTTTGAGCGATGGGTGCAGCGGCACCGTAAACTTTCCTCGTTATCTAACTTACAATAGAGCCACAAGAAAGTGGACATGCGCGTCAAGCGCCATCTTAATTTTGAGTTTGCCAAACTCAAGGCGCAACGCAGACTTCCTTCATATTGTAGCCCATTGACACATGGAATTATCCATCCCGCGAGCTCTGTGGTTTCTCACACGTATTAGTCTACGACCACAGCAGCTCAGGGTCATAGCTTGAGCTTGACTCTTAGCCCTCCGGCTTTCCGGGCTACTGCCCAGATGCGCGGGATGCACGACGACGCGGAGCGTCATGATCCTTCTGATCATGAGCGTCCACGACGTCTGGGCGGTCTTGCCGAAGTGGAACCTCAAACCACCACGAGATCTCGGTGTTGGGGTATCCCCGCAACTTTACAGGATATTGGATTGATCCTGTTGACGACGCCGACCCACAAGGCGTTCCACGTGGTATTGGACGTCACCATTTCATTGGGAGGAATCTGCGGCGGACAATGAAAATTTGGTCGATCGCAATCCGGTGACTCGCGATGCTCATCGAGTGTTGAAGGATATAGTCCGTCGTCATGTGCATTCCGCCGAGCATATAAACGAGGTCGCCTTCCGCTATGCGGAAGACCTCGAGAGCCTGGAGCACTTTGAGCACCGACTGCCTCACGTTGAGGCCTATTGCGCCCTATCGAAGTGACTTCTAGCCGTCGAGCAGACGGATGCAACACTTCGTGCGACGGTGAAGCGCCTGATGCCATTGGAAACGGAAATTGTTGCACTCCATGCTCAAACCCAGTCGCTGGTTTAGCTTCTGTGTGGTTGAGCGTATGTGGGTGCCACTTCGACGCCAACGTTTAAGCCGTACTGGGTCCTTCTCGGAATGTTTAGAGTATACGCAAGGCCCCGCTTTACCATAACCTTTAGAGGTCAGATTAACCTGGACGGAGCTTCGTCTTTAAGAGAGCAGAAACTGCATGTGTAGCAAGGGTTTTAGCATTTTATAAAACTAGGTCTCCGATTTCAATGTTTTCAACAATTCCTCTACTTTCTCCCTCTGCAATTTTTTTCGCTGCCTGTTTTGGCTTTCAGCCATCGCATCGCAAACGGGTTGTAAGACACTCAGTCTGGTAGACAGGAAGTCATCGACCTCTTTACGCACAGTTAGTGGGCTGACGTCAGCTAGCCGCTCGGCTTTTCTTTACCCACCAAGGCCTGAGCCATGGTATTGCGGCAGCGAGTAGCGAGGGTTAACAAGCATGTTCACGTAGAATGACGTGTAGCTGGTAGACGAAGGCATTGCATTATTCAGAGCAAATTCTACAAGTGGCAGTATGGCGCTCCAGGGCTTCGTCCTTTCAGCGCAGCCGCTACGAAGAACGTCTTCAACGACGCGATTCACGCGCTCAGTTTGACCATCAGTCTGCGGATAGTTCGCTTTTGAGTTAGTCAACTTGGTGCTTAGCACCCTGAAGATTGCCAACCAGAACTTCCCAGGAAATCGTGGGTCTCTGACAGGGACAAACGACTTTGCGAGTCCATGTTGTCGAAAGATACAATCTTCAAAAAGCGTCGCTGTACCCACACCGTCGATGGTGTCCGGTAATGCCGCAATATGAGTCATCTTGTTTGAACGGTTCACAAAAACCGCCACACCCGTGTTGCGCGCCGTGTCCTTCGGCAGGTCAAACACAGAGTCCAAACTCATGGACTGCCAATATCCGGAGGGTACCGGTAAGCTGGCCAGCGGCACCGCCGGAGAGGGTTTCACCCTCTGACACGTCTCACACGTGCGCACATATGTGCTCGTCCATTTGTACAGCTTGAGCCACCAGTAGTGGCGACTCACCTAGCTGTACGTTTTTTCACAGCCGAGATGACAACTGAGTGGATTGTCGTGGGCCTCGTAGAGGATACGGTATTTCAATTCTTCCTTATGAGGAATCACAACTTGCGGCACATCCATCGATTCGGTGCTAAAATACAGCGACCCGTTATTCAACGAATATCGGTGTGACTTTTTTTTTTGCGCAATCGCGCCGACAATTACATGACCAAGTTAACAGACCCCTGGCTCTTGAGATCCTGTAGCAGCGCTCCACACATACCATCACCCGCGTATGCGACGCGGATCAAATCCGTCATTA